CGTTGAAAGTAGCACCATTGAGTATATATTGTATAATATTGTACAATGTATAAGAGTATATGTCGTTTATTAAATTTTAAGTCATTTCGTTTCTATATTATAATGTTATAAGAAACTCTCACTTCTTAGCACAAGCTTTTAGCTTTTTAGAAGTGAGTCAATATAATTTATTCGTATTTTGTACTATATTACTTTTTTGTTGTACCGAAAATTTTATATTGGCAAAATAAACTTATTATTATTATTTATACTCAACGGTAGCACTCTGCAGTTATAAGAAAATTAACTGAATAATTTTAATTGAAAAGTACCGGTAGCGTTACCGTACAACGAGAAAACTTATATTTAATCTATGGTACTCATCGAACGTGTCTTATTTACTTTTCCTAATACTTTTTATGAATAAAATGATTAAATCTTCATTGATATAACTCTTTTTTTGTTGCATTGAACATAGAAGAACATATGCCGTCGTTTTTTTTAACTTTCCTATTACAATTGTTTTTTACGAGTACTTCCCCCCCCCCCCCATTTATAACTAAACATTTCTACTTCAGTATTTGACTATTTGCCTTTTTATATAGTTTGATATAGTGAAAAACACGCTTTTCTAAAAAAAAAATAGTAAAAAGTGAATTAAAAAGTAAAAAATAATTTTTTCACAAGAACAATTTACCAATCAATTGCAGCATATTTTATTTAAAATGTCAATTAATTTGAAAACAACCGAAAATTAACTACAATTTTAAATAATGTTAAACATCTTTTGACTAAAAAGAAAAGTCTAAATTCGTTGAGTGACCCCCACATTTGACCCTGCGTAGGGCGACCTGGATGTCCGAGTCCCAATATGATTACAGGATATTGTACTGTCATCCACGATGAGTGTCTGTGCCAAGTTTTAGCCCTCTACGACATCGGGGAGTGGGTTAAATTAATTTTGCAAGATTTGAAAAATACCCGTAAAAACATACAACGAACGTGGCTAAGAGTCGAATAGTCAGATTATTAAAACAATCGAATAGACAATCAATTTTCACACGCACTAAGCAAACAATGGCTACGCTGTGAGTGAGTTGTTTTATGCGAAAACACTTGTCTACTGCGTGGCACGAACGCAAAGGACATTCCGATTTTCAATATAGACAACGTGTGTCGGTTCGAGTGAAATTTTGAACTCTAAAAGTTTCAGTATGCAAAAAATCGCATCGATTAAATTTGCTATTTAGTTTATTTTGCCAATATAAAATTTTCGGTACAACAAAAAAGTAATGTAGTACAAAATAAGAATAAATTATATTGACTCACTTCTAAAAAGCTAAAAGCTTGTGCTAAGAAGTGAGAGTTTCTTATAACAGTATAATATAGAAACGAAATGACTTAAAATTTAATAAACAACATATAGTCTTATACATTGTACAATATTATACAATATATACTCAATGGTGCTACTTTCAACGCTAAATTTTGGCGCTACAATTTTTTTTTAGAGTGGCATTGAAATATTTATTTAAAATAGCGTTTGACACTTTTAGTTGCAGTTAAATTCCATTAGGCCAGTAACCCACCCGATTCTAAATGCTCTGTTAACACTTTGTACCGACCCAATACTACTAGACAATTTGTTTATAATAATAATAATTGTGGAAGAAAAAAATTAAATTTAATACGTCCTCGTCACTTTTTTTATTCAGATTTGTAATTATGAAAATTGACGGCGCTCTAAGCAAACAATGCGTGCAATTCGCGTCGGTTAGTTTACGCCGAAAACACTTGTCTACTTCGTGGCACAAACCAAAAATATATAGACATTTCGATTTTTCATACATAGTACAAAAGTTTCAACATGAAGAGTATTGCATCGATTAAGTTTGAAGACGTCCACCAATTGGGCAACGAACTGGCTGGAATCTCAAGAGATTTTTTGCTCTCCACGTGTCGACCGGACTACCAGTTTTTCGATCAAACCGCCATAAGGAATCAGTTTGTCCAGGTACGCTATCAAAATGGTATCTACTTGTTCTACGCGGAGAGATTACATTCGTATATTAATTTCATCAACAATCACTTGACCCAACTTCATCTACCTCAAAACTAACAACGAGCTAATGCAGTCTGCCGGAAATATAGTCCATGAAAATCCATGTACAATTCGTATTCGTTGTGTAATTTAGTAACTACAAATGTTCATTGCCTTTATACAAATAGTATCATGTTTATAAATTCATTCATCTTTATCATGTTAATGTTCTATGAGATACTATAAAAAAATAAATTTTGCATTTAACGATATCAATGGTTTAATTATTGTAATACTAAAATAGGCAACATTCTGTATTTCTTTGTACACCAAACAAATCTTTCAAATTTCATACCAACATCAAACCTAACCGTATAACTTTAGATTCTTCACACAAAACCTATTTACTTATTGTGTAAAGAAACTGTGCAGACTGTAAATATTCTTTAATTTAATTGTGTTTACTGAAAACCTTTCATTACTAGGTTTACCGATTAATGGACAGTATGAAAAAATAATTAGCAAGGTTTGTTAAATAATAAATAATTTATATTAAAAAATAATTAAGAAGTAATACAAGTTGTCTCATTAGTCATTCACCAATCGTTATGATCATAGCGATTAGAGGTATATACATATTCTCTTGCCTGGACTATATTTTATAATTGCTGAATTTTGTATTTGTAAGCTACATAAGCCATTTAGGCTGTTTGCAACTTTAAACACTTTTACACCAATCCGGTTTCGACATCATCAGGTATTTTTTTATTCAGGGTTTATTCAAATTAAATAAATATTGACATAATACACAAGTAATATGATATTTTTAATATTTCAATGATTAATATTATTTTGATAATTATTATAACAAAGGCCAAATATAAATAATTAATAAGTAGGTACCTATATATTGATTTTATTAACTAACAGATAAACGATGATAAAAGCTTAATGAATTTATAGAAAATCTATTGACAGACTAGGCAACACCAACCAATGAACATAATTATATAACTTATTAGTTATAGTTAATATTTGAGTTAACCGAAACCGATGAAAAATAAAATAAAACGAACCCCTTTACCAATATGATTAGGTAATTATCCGAACAACCTTATCCATAATATATGTAAAGAACTATAACCCAGAATCCTGCTTCAATAATTGGTTATGTTCTCGCTTCTATTTTAACGTAGCACCCGTCGACAAATTTTTGTGTCATCCCTATGGTTAAACGAAGATTTTCAGGTTTGGGACATTTATCCGACGGAGAAAACCGATAAGATAAGACCTGACCAACGTTGAGATGATAGTTTTGATTTGAAGCATTGCATATTTGATACCAGGGCAATTTCTGTAACCAGCACTAAAAGGAAGAAACGAATACGGATGGCGACCGCGACATGTCTTCTGGCAAGAAATTGTCCGGATTGAACATTTTTGGTTCCGGATAGAATTCCGCATTCAAGTGTAACAGATGAGTGAAAACTACAAGCGTTGACCCTGTAGATATTTTGAAAAATTACTTAACTTAGTAATAGTTTTAGGCACCAAATGTGGCAATCTATCAAACGAATTTGTCTACTGCCGTACCTGCAGGGACTTAAATATCCTCCAATCATTGTTTCTTTTTCAACGCTTCTTGCATACACAGGAACAACCGTGTAAAGTCTCAGAGTTTCTTTGATTACACGTTCCAAGTAAACCATTTTTTGTAAATCCTCATAGGTAGGTGGTCTGTCCGGATCGCCAGAAGAAAATATTGTCAATAACTCTTCCAACACCTATTTATTGGCAAGAAATAAAAAATATATAACTTTTTCGTTACCACGAATATCTATAATATTTAATTTTTTATTTATAAAACCAAATACAAGTTATAGTTTACTTTATTTTGTACGTCCTGATGATGAGCCAACATAAATATTGTACATGCGTTCGTCAGAGATGTTGTGTCTTGACCCGCTAAAACCATATTTTTTGACCAATTATTATCAAATTTTATCCATACCATACAATCAATTTGACTAATCACAGATTTTATGATAAAAAAAAATGGTAACTTGTTATAAGTATATAATCTGAGTCTTAACATTTTAAAAGGTCCCCTATAATATACATGCCACCAATCCGTTCCAATTAAAATATTTAAAAAAACACGTACCGACTACAACAGTCATTATTTCATCCTGTATTTGCTTAAATGTCATCTGATTTCCATTTTCGAGTAGTATCTCAATTAAAGATTTAGATTTAAGACCAATACACTCTTTGTTATGTTCTCCTTGACTGTTTATATTATTTTTCAATTCTGTAATTATTTTCGTTCCTATATCTTCAATAAAATTATACATTTCACTTTGAATAATGTCCTGTTTGCGTTTAAACGTCGACAACTTGAACAGACTGTTGTTCATAAACCACGGGTGTGTTACACGGTATGTCCAAATCCAAAAATTTATATTTGTATTACAACACATACAAGCTCTAAAACACTATCGGCAAAGGATACTTTAGTTATAAAGTATGCCTTGGAACAGTGATAATTCGTTTACACTGCAGATCTAGATTAATGGGGATCAAAGGGGACCATGGCCCTAGCCTTAGTTTCAAGGGGCCCAAGAACTGCCAAAATAACATTTTTTTTTTGAAAAATTCTGAAAGAAAAATTCCTGAACATAACATCAATATTAGATTATAGTAAGTACAGCGAAGAGGAATGAAGAATTTCAAAAAAATGTTTCTTGGTGGTACTAATCATACTTTTATAAACGGCACCAGATATTCTCGAGATCAGCACACAATGTTGTCTAGAAGCTATGAATAATCTATTTGAGCCTCCCAAGAAGCAAATGCCCAAGAAATTACCTGGCTCCGGATTTACAAAATTTTTTTTCAGGCCGGGTTTAATGTAATGGCGTTAATAAACAATAAATGCACAGCTTATTTCACATTCATTTGAATTGATTTCCCTTTTCTCGTACAATAGTTCACCCAAGAATTTTGCTTCCTCGTAAAGTATTGGCACAAACGATTTAAGCATCGAATATTTTAACCCCGCAGTTACCAATTTCCTATAAGTATCAGCACAAATTAAAATTGTATTAGATATAATAATATATCATTAGGTAATTTTGAAGGTAAAATGATAATAATTGGCGAAAAATTGAATTCCTATTATTAAAAAGCCAAATTTTCATTATTGTTTTGAATGTGTTACACCTTGTTGATGCTATATTTCTTCTTTCCAAATATGATTTTTTGGTTTTTATATAGTTATAGATTACATATAAATATTATATAAAATTCACCTGTTCTTTTTCCATTCCTGAAAATTCCTGTTTGGAAATATTCCATTGCCCCCAACTGATTCGTTTATCACCTTATAATGTTTAGCTTTGTTAAACAGATCAGGATTGTTAAGAGCCACTTCTATATCTTCAGGGTTGTTAAGAAATATGTATAAGTCGTTTAAAATCCAAAATTTGATTAAGGTATTTTCGTATCTATACCACAAAGACAACAAACTAATTATTGTTGCTCTCAAATTACATGACATTCAGTACACCAAAAGAGCAATGAAATTTTATATTAGATATACGTGGATACAGCGTAATTACTTTCTACACAATTTCAAAACATTCGTCAATATTTTTTCAGCTCCTCCAAGTAAAACAGGTAACAAACCCACGAAAAAGGTTCCATCTGAACCTGGTATCCGCTTTGCCAATGATGTCTTTCTGCGGTTTACTATTTTATAATATAGAACTAATAAAAATAATGTTACCGCTATAAGTATAACAACAATGTTATTTAGGCTTGTATCGCCCATTGTGCCTGACATCTGAAAATATCGTGTCCATAAATTAGAATTATTATTTATCATGATTCCTGGTATTATTTTTGTTAAATGTAGTGCTATATTTAGTGCTATAAAAAAAAAATTATATATACACACAACTTTGTTAGCCTTAATATGCTATTTTTCTAATAAAATCTAATACGTGTTTGATTTTTTTTAATTTTGTCTTACCGTTTGGTAAGAACATACCAAACTTTTAAGACTTATTATTACTTTAAAATCAGTTTTTATCAATGGTTTAGTTTACTTTAGTTTAGTTTTTTTAATTTAACCAATACAAAGGGTTTTAAAAATGTACATGGTTTTTTTTTTTGCTTATACCTCTAGTCATAATAATTGAAATGTCGAGTTAAGAATTTGTTTACCTGCTGAAACGAAACCATTTCGTTTGATTGTATTTCCTATAAGACAAAAACTTAAAATACTCTTTGGAGATATACACAACGACTAATTCGAATTTTCGATTATTTTTAACATTAACATTTTTATGCCATAAACAATCCCACGATTTTTTAGAACAATCAATTAATGTTTTAACTTTGAATAGGTGTTATTTATATTTAAGTTCCCATACATTAGCTATGTAAAACTCACATTTTTTTATTTTAATTAAACAAAAACATTAGGTATATATTATTATAATATTAAAAATAATATTATCGCTACAAGTCAGCGGTTCCCAGTGATAACTTTAAATAATGTATTAATATATCTAATTATAACTAAAATCTACCGTTGCATATTCAACAAGGTCGTCAAACGTTTTCATTGAAAACAATACTTAATACAGAAATACAGAAATATACTATATAAATGACGATACTAGCTGAGTTTAAATCAACAATTTTTTTTTTATAGTTCCTGATAAAACTAGTTATTGATATAATAACAAAAAAACATTTGTAATTACACGGCCAGTACTACATTGGTTCTATTGTACAGGCATGCAAATATTGTAAACTTAATCAATGCAATCATTTTCAATTATGAATCTTTTATGCTTAACAATTTTACTCGATCGAACAACCGTAGTCTTCGTACAATATCCGACTAACTATATATTAATGATTTGTACCACAAAACAGACAAGTGTTCTCCACTTAAACTGGTTGACGCACGTTGCACGTATTGTGTTTGCATAGAGCATATTATGATATTTTAATGTCTGTGTTAATATAATAAAAAAAAATATTAAAACGTCAAGTCGTATGATTAATCTGAAGTAAATCTAACAAGTACGTCGTTCGCACATGTAATGTAATATGGTTTTTCTATATATATATATATATATGTATTTTGCAATCGCTATAGGAATCTTTTGAATATTCATCCAACAAAATATATGACATTTTTAATAAAGTTGAAGTATACAGATGACGTTTATGTGTACCAAAAGAAAAATGCACGCTGACAAAGGTTTTAAAACAAAAACCGCATAAGAAAAGCTAGTATAGTTGCGAAAGAGCTATATTGGGTCGGGAAAGTCATAGATGTAAATTTAACATTACATCTGAAAATGATCAAATCACTCTCAAATAAACACTTCGATACGAATGTGTAACGACACGAGTACAAAAATTCTTGAAAAAATTGTAATGAAAATAATGTGTTGAAAATGTATTTTTAGTATTACGTCCCTTTTCCGTTCAGTTTGATAAAAACCCAAAAAAGTACATATTTTTCAACTTATGGAGTATTCTTTAGACATACCGCATAATACTGCCGTCAGACTTTCACCAACCAACAAAAACAATTTAATAAAACCTTTCCACTAGAAGACCGTAATTCAGTGTTCGTTTTATGCCGGAGGGGATTTTCAGAAATTGTACTAGAGCTTAAGTGTAAAAAGTTGGGTTCAAATTTTGAATGGAATGTCTTCCAGCGCGTTATTGATTATTTTATACAGCTTCCAAATTAAAATTCTTTATGTAAAAAGTGATTTAAAACAAACCAATGAAAAGAGGTAATTTGGTGTAGGGAAATCAATTGGATTCTTTGAAAAGTTTTTATTTGGGTTGGCACAACCCCGTAATTGGTCATCATACGTCCCGATTGGTCCAAGCGTTGCTTTGTCAACAAGTTAAATAAAGTTTAGATTTAAGATCAGGTGTACTGTGTAGGTGTAAACTTGAATTTAATTAACTTTTAATAGATCCTAAGTGAATCTATTAAATCTATTAAGCGACAACTCTAAGAATAAGATATGTTGGTAAGAAAAACATTTTATCTTAATATTAATAATTTTAGATATGTTTCTGGGTTTAAACGAAAATAAGACATATGTGTTATATTTTCTTTATATGGCCAACAAATAATGATCGTGGATAGGATTTTTCAACACCTATGCACTGTTGTTCATAATTAAACCATTAACATTATGGAATTCAAACCATTATTGAGGCTATTAGTCATCGGTCCAATCCAAGTTCATCTTTTATTTTGGAAAACGTTTACCGTCGTTTCAAACCATACATTTTTAACATTGCAAAGTTCATGTTGGCTGTTGTTACTGTGTTGATTATTCGCACGGTGTGTTAATTAAACGCTAATAAAATTCAATGCGACAGCGTCTAGTTGTGTCGATACAGATAAAATGATTAAAATTTGAATAATTATTGGAGTTAAAAAACGTTTGTAGAAACACAGTAAATAATAGCACGTTTGATTTTTATCAAATTTATTAAACCGTTGAAAACATAACATCCAAAAATAATTTTTTATATTACCTCATAAGACATTAACATGACAAAAACGAACGATACCGAGTATACGAAGGAATTGAACATTTATAATTACCAAAATACAACAACCGAGAGTACGTTGTGCAAACATTGCCGTGGACTATGTGACTGCAAGACCGAGCGAGCCGTTCGTCAGTTACGCGGTAGCTGAAGTTGGGCCAAGTGATTTTCGATGTAGTCCATGTAATAATGCAATCTGCCCACATAAAACTGGTAGACGAGATCCGGATGACGGCGATGCGCATTCCTCGTTGCCGGCAGGTCGAAAAATTCGTAGTCGGGTCGACACGTCGAGAGCAGGAATTGTCTTGACCGTACGGCGAGATCGTTAACGGTTTGGGCAACGTGCTCGCCACTTGCCACATAAGGATACCCGCGAAACGAATCGTTCACCAGAGGGGCGATTTCCGCCAAAAAAAAGCCAAGCGGCACCAGTTGATTGTAAAACGGATTGTCCTCGACGTCGTCACCGATCACAGAATCGACGTACTGCAACGCGGTCTTCAGTTTCCGTACAACAACACCGCCGTGGCCGATGGCTCTGCCAAGTCTGTCCGCACAATCGGCCCCGAAGGCGGTCCGGCGCCACTGCATTGTGTGGCATTCCTCCATTGTGACAAACGTCAACAAGAGGAACCAATTGAATTTCACGCCGTAAGCGCATCCCATCATCGGAGACACCATCCGCAGCCTGTCTACAACACCGAGTCCGGAATCCACACCCCACATCGCACTTATATGCAACCGATTATGCACCCGGCCGAACTCGCTGAACCACATCCATCGCCAATTTTGTGCATGTTGAACGTGAACGAGCAAATCTTCCGGAGATTCCGGACGGTCGGGACAGACGACGTTGGGTCCGTTGTACAGGCATGTCAAAAAAATGACAATTATCATTCGACTCGATGCGATTTTTTTCATCTCGAGACTCGACGATTTCACTCGAACGAACAGAGGCGACCGCCTATGGAAAATCACAACGTCTAAATTATATATTTTGCATTTGAGCCACGCATTGCCACAACGGTTTTCCGTTTAAACTCAAACAGACGCACGCCGCACGCGTTGTTTGCTCGAAGCAAATGGAAATGTTTTGTCTACATTAATATATAGATACGATAAGTCATCACGTTATACGATTATTATTCCTCTCAAAGACAAATACAAAAAAATCCACTTTTGCTGGGTCGGCACAAAGACGGCGACGGAGAGCATACAGGATGTCCCACAAAGATAAGACAAATTGAATAACTTTTGTTCTAGTTAATATTTTTTAATTAATCTATACTCATTTACGCTGTAAGCACCACGATTTTTAATGCACTTGTCTATTTTGTCTCGTATGTCTTTTAACGACTTAGATCTATTTTAAACGAAAATCAAATTAAAACAGTATACAAGGCATTAGTAGAATCAATACGGACTTATGGCATAATTGCATGGGATGCAGAAAATAAAAGTAATCTAAATAAATTACAAATTTTACAAAATAATATCCTAAGAGTAATCTTAAAAAAAACCCGTGATTTTCATGTCAGTAACTTGTATGAGGAAATAGATGTACTAACAGTAAAAGAACTTTATTACAAAACAACAGTTACCTTCTTGGTAAAAAACAATCTAGTTAAACCTATTTCCCATTTCCCATCACCCCAAATGTACATAAATCCGCCTCTCAATCTTCTTTTCTATATACTGGTCCAACTATTCATAATAACCTACCTTACGAATTACGTGATTATGAAAATCATTATATATTTAAACTAAATTTAACAAATTGGCTATTACAACATGCTGCTGGTTATACTTTTTCTATATTGTAAATTTCATACATCAATTACTCTTTTCCGTTATAATGGTATGTGCTAATCATAGCACATATTTATACTTAAGATAAATATTTTTTTATCTTAATTTAAGAAATGTATTTAATAAAACTTGTAATTTGCTATAGTCAAGGCTCATGGGCCTCCACACGAGCTTGCTCAGTGAGGCCCATTATACAATTTATTATGTTATACCTATGTAATATTTTACTTTTTTAAATAATTTTTTTTTTAAGATGGCCATTTTATTTAAAATAATTTTTAAAAAATAAATTGGTGTAAACAATTTGTATTTTTATTCATCCATTTAAAAGTCATATGAATTTGAAAGTAATGAAAACTTGAAAATTTTAGTTTATACACAGCAACGTCGTCGAATGAAATGGCCATCTTGAAGAGAAAAAAATAGTTTTAAAAAAGTTAAATAGTTAAGTGCAATCACAATCGTGGTGCTTATAGCGCAAATAAGTATAAATTAAAAAAAAAACGAATCTTGAAAATATTCACTGTAACAAAAACTATTTAATTTGTCTTGTATTTGTGGGGCACCTTGAATAGATACTGCAGAGTTACTGGTGTGCAAGTATTAATATAATACTGTTGGTGTTAACTCTGTTTCTTTAATGATATGTTAATATAAACCATGTTTTAAACCAACACTCTCTCTCTCTCTCTCTCTCTCTCTCAGAGTTATTGCATGTCTCAAACTGGTCTTTTAGTGTGTTCCTTGGAAGTGTGGTAGTGTAGTCACCAACAATTTTAGTGTTTTTTTTAAAGAATATTTCTGAGTTATATTTATCATATAAATGGTCAACAAGAAATAAAAAATGTGGAGGCCTGTGACATATTTTGACGGTAGTGTAGTTATGGGAGAGACCAGAGACCTTGCCAATGGGTCAACATTGCACGTTTAACTGAGTATGGATTTTATTAGGTCGGCTTTTGTTGATTAAAAATACAACAAAGCAAGTGATACAATTATGACTTATTATGTATAATATGGCGAGTTGAATAAAACAATTATAATATAACATCCGTTTCCTACCACAGTTTTTACCATACATGGTAAACTAACTAATGTAAAAAAAATATATAAATTTGAACTTATAGTCTTATACAAAAAAATAATAAATAATAATTATTATTATTGATGTGCACATAATGTTATCGAGAGGCATGTACTACACATTATATATAAATATTTTTTTTAATGTAAAAAATTACCGTCTGCTGCGAGAGAAACATTTTTTTTCAATAAAATTGTTTTTCAAATAGTAATAATAATAAGAAAACAACAACAGCAATATAATATTTTTCACGTCTTATGTTTTTGTCCATATGTCTCTTTTGATTTTCAACAGCAAAAACGACACCAACGAAAACACGGCTATCCACGACAAAATGGATACGAATCCCAAGTATACCGAAGGGTGGTTCATGCTCAACCCTTTGCCTGTTAGTGACCTTAGTGATTCCGTGGACAGCGTCAAGGGCAAGTAGTAACTGACGTTCCGGAGAAAATAATGGATGCCCTCGGTTGGCCATATCAATCCTATGGTAAAATTAATATTAGCTCATTAGCGTTCATCACACAGTTATCATTAAAATATGTGAATTGTCATTAAAAATGGGTAGTTTTAAAGGATAGTGGTTTGTAAAAGTAGGCGATTTGGCTGGCCGACCAAATAGGGGTCATCAAACCCATAAAATAGGTATGGGTTTGACGGATAAAAAAAAAAAGAGTAACCAAAAATAAATTACATATTCCCTCAATAAGCAGTGCTGGACATTATCTAAACTGTTTCATCTGGAGAAGTTGTAGGAAATACAACTTAGCGAACGTTATCTTAACTCATTCGGATATAAAATTATGAACATGCATCTATTTAGGCGAAATAAATGTACATACATAAAGGAAAAAAACTTATTTAGATGTCTCATGCATGATACACATTTCACTGAATATTGTACCATGTTGGTAAGTGTATTGTTAGTTATAAACTTAGTAGGTGATCATACAATAGGGCTTTAATGTTTCCTCACAATATTTCTTTTTTTAATTCTAGACTACAATGTTGAGATTTGTTTTTTGGTCTACTTACTCATTATCAAATGTGTACTTACCGCATAAGAATTTCAACAAGAAATTTGTACCAATTCCCAAAAATGCCGCTTCCGTCATGGTTTTGCACAGAATAGCTTCGAAAAATCCTGTGATCAGTCAATGAAACGAATTAAAAGATAATCATTTTTTAAGCTTAAAGTTATATTACTATCGGTAGAGCGTTAGAATGAAATTCAGAATCAAGAGTCTCACAAAATGTATACTAAAACTTAAAATATGGACAAGCGAAGTTGACTTAAGTCGAAGAAATACAATTAAATTTGTAGAATGATAACCTAGGGTTTTATTTTTTTTAACTTATTTTGTTTTAATTTATACTTCAACCTAGTTAAATGCACACAGCGATGCGCATAAATGTAAGTCAATTGTATGTTAATTATGGAAAATGTTTTCTATCTGCCTCTAAAATTTAGGAATCTTTAAAATAACTCAAATTACATGATATCTATCAAATTGTGTGTGTTTATGGTGATTAATTGGTAAAAAAAAAAATAGTGAAAACTAGGTACATTAATAAAGTAGTAGCGATTGTATCATGTACAAGTTGTGGCTTGTTCAGTCATAAAGTTCGACTGGCACTAAATTGCTATTTTTTTTTAAACATTATAACTTTGAGGAAAATAGTTAGTTTTTTTTTTAAATTTTACCGAAACACATGCCGCCGGCCCCAATGAGCGTTAATAGTAAAAATGCTGGAAACAAATCTCCGACAAATGGATTTTGGAAGAACCAAAACATAACGATCATCACCAGTGAAGTTTGAATGATTATGAACACCACTTGAACGGTAACGTGAGCCAAAGCAATTTCAATAAAATTCATTCCTAAAAAAAGAAAAATGTTATTTATACCCAAAACAGTATTGCGATCAACCATCCAACTACAATTGATTATTTTAACTATATAGTGAGAATAATAATTAAAAACTCCCACTCGTTTTGCAGTACCTTTACCTATATGTTTTGTAAAAAAAAAAAGGTTTGATGTAACTTATTAAACGATAATTTAATAACTGAGAACTGAGATAGTGGTATAGTGTGAAGAAGATGGGATGGGATAAGGTATTAATGGGAGTATATGATAGTAACAATTGGGTATTCATAATTCCTGGACATCTATTCTGATGAGATACAGGAAATTAGCTGATTGGTAATAAGAGATAATCGAAAAGAGACTAGTGAACCTAAAGGACGTTAAAATGCTCAAGCCGATATTGCTTATGACACATTGGCCATTGGGTTTATAAAAAAATAAAAATTATAAGCTTATTAAAGACTAATATAAATGAAATATATATAGAACACTATATAAAACCAAAACAAGTATTGAAAAAAGTCTCTAAAAACCCCCAAAAAAAACATATTCAACTATTAGAATGGTCGGTGGAAAATTCACCATTTCAAACACTTTGAATCGTGCCTAATAAATTGTTGAGTTATAGGAAATTATTTTTGAAAAATTTTAGTTATACAAAACTTAAGTAATGGTCATACCAGCGAGAACGACTCGATCAATGACACCTCCCTCTTTTTCCGACAAAATCGAAGCTCCGGTATAAATTGCTGGCAAGTAAAAAGCGCATCTAAAACAAAATAATAGTTCATTTTAGACCAATTAAATAATTTGGATTTCATAGAAACCGTTACAACATATTATGTACTCACAGTGCTATAATGGCTGGTGCTGCATAGTGTATGAAACTTGGATTTTTCGTACCGTACACTGGATCTTGCATCTTTGAAATAAAAAAAAAAAAAATGGTAAACATAAATCTAGCTTATACCTAGTTAAATATGTTATTTTTTAACAAAAATCGTTTTGTTTCAATAAAAAATTCTCGTTACAAATTAAGCAAACGCTACTTCGTGGTCGATGAACATACCTGAATGGGCGAGTCACCGACTCTTTTGGAAATGCCACAATTCATCAATATGTTTTCAACGACATCGTCGTAGCTATTTAAAATGTCCCTCCGAATCATTTCAGCAATGTATTTGTCTGCAAAAAGTAAATTAAAAAACCTCAGTGACCAGTGTCTTCGCAGGAGCTGTTATAATAATACTTGGTTTGTTTTGAAATTTGCTTTGTATGCACATTTTTTTTTAATAACATGTAATTTATAGTTAGCCTATAGATAAGATGTTAGATTTCATACTAGCAGAGTCTATCCAAGCGTCGACAGTGGACGACATTAGAGTGTCGTTGGTAGCCTCCACTCCTGTATTGAATTTGGTTGCGAGACTGCCACTGAAATTTGACGAAAAGTGAATGAATCCCCACACCTTGTTCTCATTTACCGCTGCGTGGCCTTCTTCAATGTTAGAAAACTTGACCTAAACACACATCAAAGGTGAAAACGATGTAGACGAATTCATCGTTTTTCTCAAACTGTTTGATGTTGTCGATGACGGTTTACCAGTTGAAAAGTTTTTTCCTTGAGTTTGTCCAACACCAGACAACTGACGGCCATGCCGCCGTCCAAGAAGCAGTTGGTAGGCGTTCTCGTTATGTTCGCGCATTCCTCGAAGTCGTTGGAAACCTCTTCGTTTAAAACGCCCAAAGACAGTTCTTTGGGATCGTGTCCACAGGTGATGTTGAAAATGGCCGTCTGTATGATGGGCAGGCATATCAGGAACAACGCGAAACTAGACGATAATAATAAATACCGCGCATGTTAATAAAAGTATGAAGAAAAAAAAAATGGGCACAACCTCCGCAGGAACATGGATATGTCTTAATATAAAAGTATAGGACCCTGGTACTTTTTGGTACTCACTAATATCGAATGTTTCCATCTCTAATCTCTTACCTCACCTCTACCATCCGGTTACACCATCTAAGCGCCCGACTGGACCATCTCTTAACTCTAATCTCTTATCTATCCCACTACCCACCTCCAGCATCCAGCTTGACCATCCGATTGACCCCCAGCTCAATAACATATCCATGTTAACTATATTGAAAAAATAAATCCCAATCGATACTAACGGTATGTTTCGCCTCAGCAGGAAAACGTTTTTGAACAACTGCGCTTTGAAACGGCCGAAGGTAAACAGCTTGTTGTTGAACAGCGGCGGAGGAGGCAAATCTCTTGCATAGGAAAACCTTCTGGCCGGCTAAAAAATGCAACCGTAAATCGTCAGTAAAATTCACAAGTACAGTCAAGTGACATAGTATATTTGTATGAGTTTTAGGCAAAATAAGTCAATGGTTATGTTGGCACAGTAAAGTCAAATTAAATTTTCAAATAGGTTATTCAACTTAAAAGCTAAAGTATTAGCTTTACAGATTAAATCTAGGTAATTTAAAAAAAAAAAAAATTTGTAATTTATCATCTGTAATCTTTTAAAAATATATATATTTTGTTTATTATTATTATTATATATTTGAACATTTGACCACTGCATGGTAATTATCGTGAAAAAGTAATGTGTTCTGCAAAATTACCATTCATGTATTCTGTACTACTGATGCTAATGATCTATAGTCAATACCTATTTAAATAAGATGGGTAGATTTCACTTTACTACCGGCATACAAACTACAGCAGCTCACTTGAGTGGTAGCAGTCTATTTTGTACAGACCAAATGGCTTGGATACTACAGTTAAATAACTTACTTGTTTCACTGGAATTTTAAAACTGTTCGTCTTCTCCACGTGATTCTGGCAGATTTTCAAAAAAGCTTCTTCCAAGTACGAACAATTGCACGAAGTCAACAGCTCCGTAGGTGTCGCTTCGGACAGCAACGTTCCTTTTCTCATAAGACCTATCTGAAACCATATCACAAAACATAACACTGTAGAAAAATGTCTGGGCGGCGTTTTGGTGAAATATAATTTCAAATGTTATCGAAAATAAATAGTTATTCAAATACTGAACTGGTTTAACGAGAAAGCGATTTTTCTAAACCTTTTTTTTACCACCCAAGAAACGGGAATTTATTTATCAGGAAAAAGCAATTTAAAAATATTCCTTGACAAAGAGGAAGAAAGTTAAAGAGTATCCACACTTAATGCATCTATCAATACATGGATATGCCCGGCAATCTAGTCTCTCTAATATCTTATCTCTAATCTACTATCTTTATTAAGTCACCTCCATAATCCTCATCCGTAATTCCTTAATACTCCTCCATAATCCATAATGATGTCAGCACTGTGACACAAAACGTGACGGACAAATTATCAAAATGACCCCCAATCATTATAAGACATATCAAATGGATATTATCCGTGTCAAAAAGAAGAGGGGGAATTATTTTTTGGTATATATTATAGTAATAATAATATGCGCTCCATATTTGAACGAGAGTGAAATGTATTATTGATTTAAAAATCGCCAAAATATTAAATTTTTTTTTTTTAATTTAAAATAAAAAAAATTTGATACATTTTTAAAACAAACCGTCAATTTACACAATGTTTTTTTTAATGTGGAAGATTGGAGAAAATAATTGATGTTTTTCTTTAACGATCAAATTTTACAATATAAGGATATATAAGGATGTATAAGGATGTATAAGGATATAGAAGGATATAAGACTATAAAAGGATATATTTTCGTTTGCTTTTTTTGGTAACGCTGTAAAAACTGTCGATTTGTCCGGCTGTGTGCCAAAGTAAAGAAATAAAAATGTCAAAAATCTAGTAAATCTGTTGTAAAGATAAACATTATGACTTTAAAAAGTCATAATTTCCAAAATAAATTCCAACTTTACAAATACTGAAACGCTTCTAAAATAAAAAAAAAACAAATAATGCATTCAAATATATGTACATATGTTAATAGAAACATGGTAACAAGACACGAGAAGGGATATTTTAAACTATAAAAAATAAGTAATAAGGTAATTATTGTGAAAATAAATATATTATAAGACTAATGAAGTCATACACATATATACTACAGTAATTATATGCAATGATATACCCAACCACTAGTAAACACAAACGACGTGACGTGAACCGTTAACAAAGCTTGTAGTACAAAAAATTACACCTCGACTGTTTTTGCAGGTAAAGTGTACGATTAAGCAGGATGCATAACGATGACGAAGGTATTCTATTAAATTAGAGAGTTCAAAAACTAGTTAGAAAAAGTGGTTTTTTGGAAGTGATTGATAAAACAACATGTATAGCGAAAAAAAAAGTGTTGATGGACAAAAATTACTAATATTAATTGAAACGAAAATCGCTTGTTCATGTTTTACAATATCATTGTTTTGAACTTACCATGTTCGCTTGTTTAGCTTCTTCTATGTAATGCGTTGTGATTATCACAGTTTTCCCCTCTTTTGACGTCAACTCTAACAGCAATTCCCAGATACTTAAAAAAAAAAAAAAATTTCAAAAATAGTAAATACAAGTTTTGGCATCCCGTCGTGTGACCGCCAAGTCAACAGGTGTAATGCGGTTAACTGGTCATCGTAAAAGGCTTTTAGTTTTAAGCTTGGCAACGCTTTAATATTTTGAGTTAGTAAACTGAGTTAAATTGTTATAAAATATAAGTGTAACTTATAAAAGGTAAACATTTTTATCGTAAACCACTCAACATCTTATTGGGTCTAATTAATAACTGTTTTTTTCATAGTGATTTTTTGTAATGTAACCTTAATTTTTCACAATTTTTCCACCCCTCTGTCCAAACTAATTATTTTTATATCAACTTTCGAATCTTAAATTGGTAACGCATACATTAACTTTTTTAAATCGAGAATAATGCGCTGAAAATGTTGACTTTGAAGATGCATAAATAGGCATTTTAAACTCACTTAGCACTAACTAATGTTTCCAGTGGTACATAGGACAGTTCGAATGCTTACCTTTGACTAATTAAAGGGTCCAAACCGACCGTCGGTTCGTCCAAAATTAATAGTTTGGGGTCGTGCAACATGGCCACAGCTAACGATACTCTTCTCTGTTGTCCGCCGCTGCAAGATCACATTAAAACGATTGTTGTTAACTGATTGCGTTATACTTATCTCGGATGTCGGCCAACATGCGACACCTACCTCAGGTCGTTCAGGATGAGTTTGTAAGAAGGCAACTTCAAAAGGTTCTTGAGCTCTTGCGCTCTCTTCTCGATGACTTTGTTGGACAAATCGAATATATAACCGTAGTAGATGAACGTTTCCCTGACCGACAGTTCGCCGTGTAAGGCCAATTCCTAATCACAACCGCCATTGAAATAGTCAGTCGAATAGAATTTTTAGAAATTCCACGTCGGCGGTACTCACTTGGGGCATGTACCCGATGTCTCCGATGTGTTTGCCTTTGAGTTTGATTGTACCGGAATCCAAATGAATTCTTCCCACTATGCAACTCAACAATGTCGTTTTTCCACATCCGCTGGGCCCCAGTAAACCGTAACTGAATGAAAAACATATTATAATAAAAAATGTATTGATCTTTAAAGACGCACTGCCTCGTAGACGTGCCTCGTTAAGATATAAAATAATACAAACATTTTAAATAGTATTTTATGGTACACATGGAACAGGTATTAATCTTCAAAGTAGGTATACAATATTGTATAAGTATGTTTATTTGTATTAATTATGAAAAAATGTATTTAGGACATATTTTCTTAAAAGGAAAACAAGTTAAAAATATACATGCGTTTAAAATAACAAATACCTATTAAAATATATTATCTAATTATTTATTATTTTTATAAAATTTCAAGTATTTTATTATTAGGGCAATGTATCTATTAGGATACATGCGATTTTATACTTAAATAACTAAATAAGTGATTGACTTTATTTCAATATTAATCAAAAATTTAGACATGCATGATCTGATTCCAACAGCTGAATTAAATATATTTCGGGTTTAAACTGTAAATCAAATGTGTTGAAAATAAGTCAAATGATATGATAGCTGATGAAATGGTTTTTTTAAAACGATATAACAAAATAATATATATCAATAACCATAACGATCTCTCCAAAGAACATAACAAATAAAAACAGTCCATATAATATGTTTTATATTTTCACTGGAATATTTATTTAAATTTTGTGTATCTATAAAGATAAGTTAAGGGTTGTGATTGTAACCTAAATTTATCTATATGTAAATTAACTAAAATACTAAGAAAAAATGTGTTTTTTATGACTTCGAAGGTGGTTTAAAAAAAAAAAAACTACGCATGCCGGAGAAAGTATGAAGTGTAAAAACGATTGGAATTCAGCGAAAAAAATCCAATAAATTACAGATGTGTATTGGTTCTTGTTCTATAATAGTGTATACACAATATTGACGTTGCTATTAATAATATTTTTTTTGAAAACGTGTCAAAACGTTTAAAAGCATTCACATTTCTAACTAAACCAACTGGGAATTCGCTTCATATCTGTTCATAATAATTTAAAAACGTGCCAAAGAGTTATTTCATAATAGCTATTATTTTCATACAAACGTGAAATACTATTTATAAATTATTATTAATATGTTATGGTGCACAATATGTAATACTATAAATCATAGATAATAATATTTATACTTATTATGTAATTATTATGAGTTGCCGGCTTATTTTTCAAAACTATCAATACAGTGCAGTGTTTGGAAACCGTGTGCCAAACTATGAATTATTTCATAAGTTCGATATGACCTTCGTTCGCATGGTAAAATTATTATGTAAAACGCAGATGAGATGCAGTTGCATTCGTTTGATCTATCAAAAAATTATAAACCCGTGCAATTAATGCTGCTTCTGCAAAAAAAAAAATATAAAAACAACGACTACCGGTGTAGTTTTATCTGTTTAACAACGCAGCCTCGGTTAAAAATAGAATCTTTTGAAATTTTCTTTAAATTTGTCCTTAAACGATTCAAGGAAATGCATAGATAATTATCTCGCCATCAATGTTGTTTTTTTATGACAAATGGTCATAAAAAAAAAAATCCTAAACAACTTGTTGTTATGTGTTTTAATATGGTTTTGCCCACCAACATCAAGTTATTCAAATGAGCAAAGCCTAATGCCTAAAATGCTTGGTATGTTTGCTGTTGTTTGTTTGTGTCTCATAGAAAATGGATAATAGTCCAGCTTTTATAAAAACAAATAAAACATTGATGAAAATGAATAAATTACAATAAAACGCATATTATATTCCATGTATAATCTGGAAATGTAAAAATAAATAATATTGTTATTACTGTATCATTTTACGTTATTATGTTAGTCACATTATATTACATAACAACATATTCGTTTAGTTTTATTCTACCTTTTTTTTTTTCTATACAAATAACTATCATATTAGTTAAAAACGCTTTATAAGAGGATTAGAATGAGAGCTTAACATGTTTAAAATTAAAAAATATAATACTGAATTTGGAAAAAGAGATCCTGTTAATTTAAGTATAAATGTATGTATGCTATATGATATTTCTATAAATCATCTGGTCGGTATAAATATATTAATTTTAAGACAAACCGTCTATGTGATTAAAAATCTGACCGGTAGGCTGACATTATTATTATTGTATTAATTAAGTAAATTACTATTAATTAGATAATAAATTGTATTTCGTTAAATTAACATGTGAGTTTGTTAATATTTTAGTTTATGAATGTCACTAGATATTTTAATCACTTTTTTTTTTTTTTTGATAGCTTCTTTTGAAACTTGAACGGTAACGCATACATTTCATTAACATTTCAACCTAACCTAACTATTTAAATTGAGAATAATGTACCAAAAATGTCGATTAGTTGATAACCAATTTTGAACAACTACTATTTTTAAAGTTATAAGAGTTTAAATGTTAGGATGGGAGGTGAAGTGTGGTTGGGAAATGCGCACGGATAAAAATAATACTACACTCTACCTTTCCTACTGCCCTAAACTTGAAACTTCCATAACTTCAAAAATGGTTACTCAAAACTCGTTATCGACTAGTCGAAATTTTTAGTACATTATTTTTAATTAAAAGAAGTTAACGAAATGTATTTGTTACCATTTTCAGATTCAAAAATTGCTATCAAAAGTTGGGAGAGGGTGAAAAGAAAAACATTTTTTGAAAAATTGAGATAATTTATAAAAACATTATGGAAACAAAAATTAAATGTCTTATTAAACAGATTGAGGATTGAGTGGTGCACGGTAAAACGATCACCCTGTATAATAAAATATTTAATTTTGAGATATTCAAATTTTCTGATAAAACAAGTGGTTTACATCAGATTTATCAAATGAATGAAACTATTTTTTGGGATACCCGTTGGCCGTCGATTAACTCTCAAATAGCGACCTAGAAATTTACTGCAGTCATTGTGTAATTTCCTTCTTTTTTTTAAGGGGTTTTCTTTAATCATAACATTTGTTGTAACCCCACTCAGACCTAAAGTCCTTTACCTAAAGGTAGGAAAAAACAATTTCCAACACTTCTAGGGAAAATAAGTAATTCAATTTTTGGGCGTTTTCCTCGACTTTCAAGGTCAAAGGATACAATTTTTATTAATCTTTGGCACAGTAAAGTTAGCTCTTCTAGCTATATTTTAACTGTGAAATAAAAATGTACCGTTTAAGAAAAAGTTTATACGTGTAGAGTCTGAAATAAACAAAAAAAAGTAGATGGTAAAATATTAACAAATAGTGAAAAAGTGTTAATTTAAGGAACAAGGTGTGTTTTTATTTTTATAACACACTTTTGATAATGTCAATAACATTTCATGTGTTCATCACTTGGTATTTCGAGGCTGTACAACAGCCTACAACAATTTTTTTTAGTATTGTTTTTTTTGTCGCCATTTATTAATTAACAACAACGAAAATCTAAGACAAATATCCTCATCCATACAATCACTTACCTACAGGCTAAGAGATTTAAAATTTGCTATCAAAAAAAAACATTGTATTCGAACTTTATGAAAAAAATAATTAAATTTCTTATTAAACCCTACGAGTGGTCCACGATAAAATTATCACTTGAAATAATTGAAATTTTATAGATTTTTTTGTCTTTTTGGGAGACCCTTTAGGTTATGTAATTTTACAATGAAAAAATAGTTCGGTTCTGATAACTCACCGCCTTCACGTCATGCCTCGAGGGGGTTGAACATTTCAAAATCGGGTAGTCTTACGGGTTTTTGGAAAAAAAGGGGGAAACCATTGTTTCGCGGTAGATTTAATGATCTATCACAGAGGCAGCAATGTGACATTTTACCGCTAAACGCAATAGTTTTTTTTACTCACACTCGAAAAACCGCAAAAACTACCCTAGGAGGGGGTGACTTGGCTGAACCGAATTCTACCCAAGCGATTTGATCTTGGTGATCAACAAAATGGCGGCGTAACCCATTAACATTTTTTAACGTTCATAAACAAGAACCGCCCTAATATATATATATATATATATTGTTAAATATATAGACCCGGGATACAGGATACAGGCGTGCAAGCGGGGGGCACTACTTACATTTTCCCGTCGGGCACCGTTAGGTTGAGGTCTTTGAGGACGGCCATTTGGTTGTACTGTTTGTAAGCACCCCGCACGACCACGGCCGAAGAGGGTCTGGGCACGACCGCCGCCCGCTGCTGAGGGGCTTGCGGGTCGGCGGACGGTGCGCCGTCCGTGGCCGCAGCCGACGGCCGGCTGTCCGACAGCGCCGTGTTCTTGTTGTGCGTTAGCAGCATGCCGTTAACCGTCGGAGCGATTGACAAAATCGTTTTTCCAAGCTGAGCCAAACAGCGAAACTACATGCGCGCGTATAATCGGTCGACAACGAAACTGTATGGAAAGTTTAACACACAAAAACCGACGGCGACGACGATTTTATTTCGTTTTTTTTTTTTTTTTACTATTAATATTATATTACCGTGCGGCGCGGGTAGTGTTACTGAATACACACTGACCGTGCGGTGCACGCCGACCTGTCGATGAACGCGCGATATACGCGCACTCCCCGAGGTAAGGATGCGCGGCGGTCCGAGGTGGCGGCGGCGGCGGCCGTGGAGCTAGTAGCGGCGTCCCCGACTCCAACGTGTTTTGCGTTTTTAATCGCTCGTTACTGCGTTCGAACCCCACACGGTTTTATAATTGATATTTCCGATTGTCTTATTATTCACAGTGGTCCTGTGCCATAAAAAAAAATTTAAAACGAAAAACACAACATCCTTCGCCGTATGGTACGGCCAATCGTCGAATTTTTGCACGCGTCACTGCCTTAATGCAAACAGTCGTGCCCTACCGTCCGATCCGGCCGACGTACTATGTTTTGTCCTTCGTTATAACTATTATTATTATTACCAGTATATACAGGGTGACCCGTCTCCGATGGGGAGACACTGCCGGAAAATATGATGAAACCTATTTTAGTAAACAATTTCGGCCGGTTGGACAAAACGGGGATATTTTGTTTTTCTCGGTTGGCCGCACTGTCGCTATCAAGTGTTTTTTGTCGATCAGTCCGTTTTCGACAAGCGCGCGAGTACAGTCGGAGCGAAAAAAAGTCCATACACTACATTAAACTTTTATCGAATAAATAGGTAATAAAAAAAAATAGCCTACATAGTCGCAACCGGGGGCGATGCTAAGTAGTCTACTTAGCATCCCAAGACTCAAAATTAGCACTTCCAAAAATTCAACACCCCAATTCTTGATATGTATGCATACAATTTTAACGATGTTCATACACCGTTGAAATTTGTGATTTTCGAATGTTTTTGTTTTCAAATGTTTTATATTATAACTAATAGTTTGAAAATTGAAGGTGAGAATTATGATTAGTCAGGTATACATGGTTTTAGCACCCTCTAAAATGTATGTCTAGTTGCGCCTATGTTATCCTGATGTATTCTTTTATCATTTTATATATCCTGCAACTTATACCTGCATGAAGTGCGGATACTCTTAACTTTATTTTCAGAATGACCCCCAGCCATAAGACATATGCATGTCAAAAAAAATTGGTTACAATTTTTATTATCAAAACTTCTAACGACCATGCTGAGGTTTTAATTTTTTGGACAACGGGTTTGTTATGATTATAATAACATGTATACAGTTATTATCCCTTATGATAACTAAGGAAGTAAAAAATTTAATTTGAAATTTTCGTTTGAAATTTTAATTTTCGAATAATTTCACATATGACTTTGTAAAGATTTGAATTTAACATCAATATTCGTTCGGTTTTTTAAGTTTTTTTTTAAATCAGTAGCTCAGCACAATCCTATTTAATAATAATATTAACCCCCCCCCCCAATTATTATTATATGGATAAGCCACTCTTTACCAACTTGCTTTGAGATAGGTAACAGTACACAAGCGGTACCTATTCAATTACAGTGACGGCTACTAGTCTTATAGAAATAACGAAAGAATATTGACAACAGTTTGGAGAAAAATTAAAATCTTTACAAAGTCATAGCAAACGAACAGATAAGTGAAAATTCAAAAGTCAAACGCTAAAATTGTTTTTTAACCTTTTTGTCTACATATTCATGGAACTAAAAAAAATATATCCCTATTAAGAAAAACCAAGTTCATACTTGGGAATAATTCAGTACCATTTATATTCTTAATTACTTTATTTAATGTATTATTAATAAGCCCATATCATCTTAGATTGTAATTTTCGTTTGATTTTACCTGTCAAATGTATTAATATGTATTTTTGGAAAAACTGTGTCCAATTGGCAGCTCAAATGATGAGCAGTCAACGTTATACTATTTCAATAAAGTTGTTTGCAAATCTATAAATTATTAAAAAATATAGTAAAATATGTACCTACGAGTGTAGGAAAAAAATACAAGAAGCAACCAAATATTGGAGAGCAAATGTCATCACAATCAAATGCTTCGATGCGGATTTCTGGGTATATTTATTAGCAGTCTAATTGTTTTAACATATAAATGTTTATGCGAGTATGATATTAGTACATTACGATGTATACAAGGTGTAGAAAAAGAAAAAAATACAGAAAACAATGATTAGTTTGGTGGAATACGAGCAGTGAGTTGCATGAGGATTTACACTGTATTGGCATAATTCAAAATGATTGCTAGTTAAAGTTTAAAGTTGAAAAGTTGTCAATTTTAGTGAAAAGCGAAGAAGTGCTTTCTTAAACTTTTGACCTCTAATTTACCAGCTAATCCAAATCTCTAAAAACCAGCTAGTCTTAGGAAATTAACAATATTTTGAACTTACAATATTAATAACTGAGTTTGTATCTTATAACGAATAAGAGTGCAGAGTTAATAATATTCATATAGACCAGTGATCTCATCAGGTCTAATATGCCCCAAATTGAATGGATTTTCTTTTCTCCAACTAAAGACAATTGAACATATATATATATATGTATATATATATACACATTCATATAAATAAATCTGAACGGGTACACTGTCATTTATGGTAGTTGATTATTTAAACTGGTATTGGACAATTTTACAACGATCAGTTTTAAATAGTATATTTTATACAGCGTGCGAAACTCAAAGCCTGTCTGTAATACTAAATGTATTAACAATAAAAATAATTATTCATCAATATTAATATTATTAAACCCGTTGTTTTAGTAGAAGGTTTGATACAACATAATGATCATTCCTTTGGGACACCAGTTGACTGTTGATTCACTCCAATCTATAAATTGGCCAAGGTAAAAGTGTACTTATGTAACGGCTATTTATTGTAATCTATTTATCTAGCAATTTGTTTTGTTTTTTGTTTTTGATGTAAATGTAACTACAAATCTCAAGGTAAACTGCATATTGATTAACTAGGTACTTAATAATTAATAATAATAAATTATTTTATTACCAATTTATTTCATAAATAACTAATATTAATGATATTCTAATTGAAAATATTCGATAAAGTCAAATAATCATGTTTCGAATTAAATTATGATTCTCTATAGTAGATTTTAGGACTATCATAAATTTATCATTTTAAATTGATGTATTATGTTTTCGTGTCGTTGCAGTTAATAGTCGAATAGACACATTCATGTGTCGCGACCTACATAGAGTTAATAGTTTCGAGAAAACTAAATTGTCAAAATAGTTTATTCGATTATTACAGCTGATGTACATTTTTTTTTTCGACCTTATAATAATTGTTTTAGCGGTACAATAATTCCAACCCTAGACACCCATTTTTGTCAGACACTTAATATATCAAAATATTCAACTAAACACAGACTCGACACAAACCGTCTATCGCGCTGTAAAAATCAATATATATGTATATTTTTTTTTTTACCAAATTAACAACAATATTACAATGTAATCGTTCTGTATTTCGGTCAAGTTCACACGAGTCTGTACGACGACTGCGGTGCGCCACCCGTGTCTTCTGTGATTTTCCACCCAAGTTCATATTAAATTGGCACACAATTTGAACTTGTCGCATCATTGTGACCAAATTATTCCATTTAATCCTGTTTGCTATTCTAGTGTTGTCTTGTCGACGAGGCCGGCCAACGTTCTATTGTGCTCTGGCCGTTGTCTTTGTGAGAGATGATCGTCGAGAATACAAATAATGAATAATAATATTATGATAAAACACACGGTAAATAGATCCTACCTACCGGCAGACAGACTGCGGGCCAGAGCGCGCCGACCTTGGAGCGTTAAACATTGTTATTATTATTATTATTGTTATTATATTATGTATAGTTTCGATGCGTAGCCGAGAACAGGTATTGTTTTTAATGTTAATAGTACGTTTTTATAATTATTTTTTATTTGACATTTGTATCATTAAAAATACACTGCCGAGTCGAGCCAATTGGATACGTGTGTCTTCAAAGACGCACAACCTATTTAGTTGAAAAAAAAAACAATAAAACAATTTTAAATAGTATTTTATGATTCACGCGTAGAGTAGGTATAATTAATCTTTATATAAAGATATATATATATATATATAAGTATGTTTATTTGTATTCACTATGAGAAATTGTTTTTAGGACATTTCTTAAAAAGAAAATATCAAGTTAAAAATGCACCTGCGTTTAAAAAATAGGTATTTTTTAATAAATACCTATTAGAACAAAACAATTGAAATATATCTAATTATTTATTATTTTTAAAAAATTTCAAATATTTTACTATTGGCGCAATGTATCTTTTGGGATACATGCGATTTTATACTTAAATAACTAAATAAGCGATTGGCTTTATTTTAATATTAATAAATTATTTTGGACATAATTGCGATCTGATTCCAACAGATAAATTACTAATATTTAGGTTTTAAACTGTAAATAAAATGTCTTCAAGAAAAAAAATGATATAATAGCTGATAAAATAGTTTTTGAAACAAAATAATGCTGCTTGAAATTCTGTAAAATGTTATCAATAACCTTAATGATCTCTCAGAAGAACATAAGAAATAAAAATAGTCTATATAATATATTTTATATTTTCACTGGAATATTTATTTCAATTTTGTGTATCTTTACAAAGTTACCAATAATCGTTGACAACCCAATATTATAATAATTTATTTTTATACACGGTGACTTATTAAGGATAACGCACTAGTTTTCTCTTAAAAAAAAAAAAAATGAAATTTTCCATTTAAAAAAAAATTTCACCTTTATTTTTTTACATATAAGGGATGAAATTAAAAATGTAGTATAATAAGTAGACGATTAAACCATTATACATTTTTTCTAAGAAAATTAATGTCATCGTGTTTGTGTTATGTGCAAATAGAAATCTTGTCGGGCGTGTACATTTTTTATTTTTGCCACACGTGCCGTGCTCGAAGAATATATCATAATATAATATAATTATATGTTGATAATTGTTTTTTATAAAATAAATATTTGCATAATATTACA